CCATGATATTGACACTTAAGTTAAAGGAACAAAAGAATGTTCAAACCTTAAATATAATGTAATACAATACGTAACTATGTAATTACCACATTTAAATAGCACAGCCAAACCTCCATAATAACTCTAGACTTTGAGTTAATCATCTCTGTCTTTGTAATTGTACTGGAAAAGAAATTGTAGGGATATTTGTTAGGTGTGCATCTTGTTTGGTGGTCTGAGCGGCCCTTTGACCTTAGGTAGCCTCACAGAGCAGAAACAAAAACACACAAATATTCCTTCACTCTCCTTTTCTACTGCGGCTGCACTCAGATGTGTTTATGCTCACTCAGCCGTTGTGTCTTGTGTCTACCCACTCATTACACAGTGATTGTCACGGAATAATCGCGCTTGTGCTTTTGAATGTGTGTGTGGAGACAGAGGTAGGAAATTTTCCATCACCAAGGTTTGGAACGCTGGCAGATGAGAGGAAAGTTGTAGCTCATGGCATATAGCAACAAAAACTGATGGCTACTGACTAGGCCTGTCACTGTCATGAAATTTTAGCTGATGATTGCCATGTAAATAATTACTATAAACAATTTGTCTTTTTGTAAAAGGACGAGCCTAAGTGGCCGGATTGGCTGATTAGCAATCCTAGTCCTTAGCTGCTGAAACTTAGCAGGTATATAGTAACAGACAATTCCCATATCAGTGCGTCCCTGCTTAGTTGCTCCGAAAGGAACGTCTCAAGCTCAAAAAAACAAACATTACTTGCTATTAACCTCTGAAGGTGTTATAATACAAAACTAGAAGTGGGACTTTTTTGTGAGACCCTTCATGAAATTTTTTTTCTTTTATTCTTTTATTAAATGGACAAAAACATCCAGTTCACATTTGGTTTGTTGTGGTATAAACATAGGATTGTGGAAACTAAGAACTGTGGAACTGCGCCTGTTGGCGACAGTGGCACAAAAAGCTTTGCCGGTCAGCTACAGTTTATATCAGGCTTAAACAAACAACCCATTAAACTCAGTTTTATTATTCTCTTATTAACCATAAAGGAATATTCCAGCTCAGTTTTTGTCTGACGCATTTGCAGCATGTAGACAATTTTGACAAGTTTCTCTTTAACTAGTGAAAGAACAGAAAACCTTTTGACTTGAAACTCTTATAATAGAAACCAATGGGCAGGCACACCTGCCCACTGGCTTCTATTATAAGTGTGTTTTGAGTCAGCAGGTTTTCTCTTCTACCTTGAAAATGTGGTAATTGGCTGTATGTTACAGATGCAGGAGATGGAGATTAGGTTGAAAAACACTGGATCATCCTTTTAAGGCTTACTATCCATTAGGAGAATTATTCAGCAACCACAATAAAACTGTTATGACAAAAAGACACATATTTTCTGAATAACACAAAAAACAGCTTATTTCAGCTTGTTGTGGGTACTGCTTATGCACATATCTCTGCTTCCAGATTAAACCAACAAGCCGATTGGCTCTTTTTATTAAAGGGTGGGATCTTTCCAGTGTAAACAGATGGCCTCTAGCTAGCTGATGGAATTGGCAAAGGGGAGAAATTTGGCACAAAAATGTTATATTAAATGTGCACAGATAAAAGTTGAATCAGGCATATCTGTTCAGGGAAATCACCAGGACCAGAACTGAGCGCGGAACCATGTGACTATATATTATTATTTCACGTATAATATTTAATCAAATCACCACTATCAGAGTTTTTTTTTCTTAAGGCTATAAAGAAGCACCTTGTTGTCTCCAAAAGCACTCACTCACTGTCTTGGTCTAAGGCATCTCTCAAATCACAGACTCACTGTCTTAATTAGCGGTGTTTGTGTGAACGTCCCTGTCTCTTCCCTTCTCAGCTGCCAGGGTGATTGACATGCATTCGGCGGCTGCCTCGTACAGAAGCCATGACTAATTACCAACTCTCTTTGGCATGAGGCGTCCCAGACCGTCCCTAATCCGACGAGAGTGATGCCGCTCCACTTCAAATGGCTGACAGCGACAAAGCCAATATTAGCCGCTACAATATGTGACGCTATGCTTTTGTGTTCCGGCCCCCTATCCACCCTCCCCTTCTTCCGTTCTCACAATGCAAGAGTCTCTGATTACGGGTCATTTGCGGGGCTCTTTTGCGTAATTAAGAGTTTTAATTGCGGCCCTCGACACAAGGGAATTAGCTAAGCCTTCCTCTCCAAAGTGCGCCGTATTTCCGCCGGCCTTTTGTGCGTGACGCTTCCAGTCCGCCATGCGAGGGGCTTAGTGACATCACAGAAGTCAATTAGGTCCATTCATGGTGAAGTCAAGTGGGTTCGTTTTTTGTTCTTTGTGTACAGAAAGCAGAATGGGGAGGAATGCAAGGACTTTCTTTCTCAGTGTGATTACAACTAGTTTTTGCATACAAGCTGCTTTCTGTCGTCCGACTAAACAAAAATACTGCAAAAAACGCTTAGAGAATTGTAGTTCGTGTGTGTTTGTGCCAACAAATGTTTTGCAGATGCTGTTTAAGTTAACATAGTCCTTCAAGGCTGATTTTTTTTTTGTATGGAGTCAGCTGAAGAGTTCACAGCAGGACCACTTGTCAGGAGGCTAAGTAAGATACAACTTGCAGCACATATTGAACCCACTCAGTGGGGCTCCTGCAACATAGACTGCATTATGGTGACTTGAAGAGGAACTCTGTACGAAGCACACAGCTGGAAGTCTCTTATTCCTCCATACGTAAAGAAGGCGAGGGATAAAGCAGGAAGTGGTAGTGGATGAATAAGACGGCAGAAAGTAGGGCTATATTCAGATGCGCTGCTCAGCGCTCCCATGTACATTCTGCTTTACTGAGGCATTTGAAGGCTGCTTCTTTTCAACTTGGAAATTATGAATGAAGGGCCTTTTTCTATAAGTGTATGCCATTCGCTCGTAATCCATAACCTTCTTTATCACCCTATAGTACACCTTCACCTACAGACTTCTGTCTAACCTTTTATTTTATTCTTAGGACAGTATTTTCAAACTCAGTCCTTGGGGACCCCTGGGCACCACGTTCGTTCTCCCTGAGTCTACAGGTGTGCTGAGAGCAGAAAGAGGGCAAAAGTGTGGTGCCTACGGGGCCCTGTAGACTCGGTTGGGATATCCATCTAGCTGTTGCAACCATTTCCTCCACTATAGAGATGGAATTGATCAGATACACATTATTGGTATCATGCCAAAACCAACAGAGCAGCAGAAAATGCTGTATCAGATATGAGAAGTAAAAAACAAGATCTGATCAGTTACAAATCTGGCCTAAAATGTCTCAGAATAGCTTGTACCTCAACATGAGGTAAAACAAAGTAATGTAGGTCAAAATAACAGCAACCACGTGTAGCTTAATGCTAATATAAAAACAATATGTATTGTATATGTGTATTGCAAATGTGTGTTGCGCACATCTTCACATTGATGTTTCTCTTGTTTCTGTATTTCTTCCTGTAGATTGGTAGAGTGTTTGTTTCAGCATGGTACTGTCAAGCTGTCTTTACATTACAGTGAATTTAGGCAATTTTCATTACACAATTCATTTATTTGTATGGAGTCAGGTGGCAGTTGTGTGTTAGGGTTTTATGGAAACTGCAGTGGAGTGAAGCAAACAGCGATATAAAGATTTTATGTACTTCATGCAAATGACAAGCCAATCAGCTACTTAAAATGTGCCATGGTTCAATATATCACGGGTCATATCCACATTCAGACTACACACTGAAATGGAGGAAAATTTAGAAAGACATTTTTACTCTAGTTCACATTTTTAAAAAGAATATTAGACCTTTTTCAGAACTAGCCTAGAACTCACTGGATAACTAAAGACGCAAAGCAGCCAGCTGTTGTTAAGGTAGGCAGTTCACGAAACTGTAATGTAAAGTGTTACATAGTCTTACATAGCCCTCTTGAGTGCTTCAATTAAAGATTTTAAAACGTAAAATTTCAGTGTCGGAAATTTAAAAAAAAGCAGTACTGGATTGGAGTATGTGATGCACTATATCTGTCATGATATTTAGGCCACATGCTCTCAAGAACTATCAAAAACTGCAGTGTACAATAATTCAGTGTTTCACATACTGCACTGCACTAAATCCCGTTGAACAGGACTATATAAGCTCTCTTTGGGTCGTTCACATGACACCACCTCAAAATATGTCCATAAATGAGTGTCACAAGCATCATGCACATAAACAATATTCATATAATTTTGTAGATCAGATTCTCTATGGTACAGGAAGAAGTTTGTGCAGTTCATTTTTCTATTTTAAAGACCCTTTAAAATAGAAAATAGAAGATCCCTCTAAAATAGAAGACCTCTCTATTTTACCATTTTTTTCAATACCGCAGTGTATGTTTCACATTATTGTTTTTCAATATTTATTTTTTACGTTATATTTTATATTATATTTTATATATTTTTTTCTTCGTATTTTTTACTGTTATGGCTATGAGATAAAATTGCAGAACACTATATAATTGCAAAATATATAATTTATTTAATAATATATTTAATAATTAGCTTTAAAATACATAGTGTACACATTGTGAAATGAAAAGTTGTGAAATATACATTTACAGATTAATCAATTTAGTGACTTAAATTAGAAAATGTTAAAAAAAAAATCTATTTAAATTCATTTTAATCATTGAAGTTTACTTTTTATTATTCAACTAGGCATCATTGTTTGTATATTCCAAGAAAAAGATTTTAGTGGTTTTAATTTTTGTAAATTGGGTCCCAATATTTGCCATGTTTATGAGAACAACCTAGTTCTTTAAGTACTGACGATATCTATGATATGCTTAGAAAAGCACACTGTGGTGTAAGTTGTCACAAAAATGTTAAACATTCCATTGCCCACTTCTAGTGTCGGGCCATCTCTGCTCCACAGTCACTGCACTGAATTCAGTTCTGTTTATACCAACCCAATGCATTCAAATAAAAGCAGTTCAGTTAATGATGAATATTTGGTTCTTCCTCCACAGTGTCTGGTGTTTGAGGACGCGCCCAATGGGGTGAAGGCAGGCCTGGCAGCTGGCATGCAAGTCGTCATGATCCCTGACCAGAACCTGGATCGCAGCCTGACCCTGGAGGCCACGCTGTTGCTGGACAGCATGGAGGACTTCAGGCCAGAGCTCTTCGGCCTGCCTGCCTACAATTAGAGACTCTCTAATGCTCCTTAACGTACTCAGTCAAACATGCCATTTGACATGGCAGGTCTTAAAAGGAGGGAATGAATGACTAAGGTTACTTAGTCCAGTTTATTCATACGATCACACAATCACATAATCAGTGACTTATGGTGAAGAAAAAAGCTTTTACTCTTTCATGAGATGCAAAGTTTGGAAGGTCTGACGCTTTGACGGTTTTACAGGTCATTTAATTGCATTCAGGCTTAATCTCATTGGTGCGGCTCATTGAGCCAATCGCGGCGCTGGATCTCAGCACGTTCGTTAAACACTTTTAGTGTTGATGGCTTGAACAGCACCCAAACTGATTTTGATTATTCTGCTCAATTAGACCCAGTCAAGCCATTAGGCCTTATTGATGGTTTTTGATGTTTGTGTTTTTTTCCTTCATCAAATTAGAGCCAGTAAATTGATTAGTTCTATATTTAACGGTGGTGATGATGATGATGCTTTGTTCAGGGCCTGTGTAAATTCCTGATTACTGGCAGCTGTCACACAATCAAGCTTTTCATTTCATTTTTACGGCTTTGTATTTGTTGATTTTTATTTTTGAATTCCTGTTTGTTTTTGTGTAAATGGCAGTGTAGCAACACTAGAGAGGTTTATTAAAATGCCAGACGTTTTTAAGTCCGCTCCATGCGACGTAATCCAATAAAAGAGATCTGAGGGGCCAGGCGTCTTTCAGATTTTACCCGCGTTCGCCTCCCCCATGCCAGGGTTAGCGTCTTCTTTCAGCGGCGTCCGACACAGCAGAGAGCTCGAACCCCAGTTCTTTTCTTTCTGCAAAACCCCTCAGGGATGAAAGAGATTTCCACCGGCGTCCTCTTCTCTCTTCTCCGTGTAGGCCGCGGACCTTTCATCCTTAAAGACGAGCAGGGAATCCGGAAGGCTTGTTCTTTTCTACATGACTTCCACCCTGGGGCCTTTTTACATGTCGTTTAGAGGCTTAGCGCAGGAAGGCTATCAGGCCGGGGGTTTAAAGCATGAGAGAGTCTTGTGTGCTTGTGTGTTTATACATGTTTGCTTATATGGATGGAGGACATAATATCTTGTCTCCATTTGAAGAACTTGAAATGAACAATAGCACTTGGCTGTAACTGTGTTTATAAACAAGTATTACGTGGCTGAACAATAAAGTGAATTTATGTGTTACTTGGATTAAACATGTAACACACTAAAGGAACAAGAAGACTTGTTATAATCAGTAGCCACTTATGTATGTCTGGCATGCATGTACATGTGTTTGTATGCTTGTACGGAACAAAGAGAGGAGGAGACCTAGCAGGTGGTGTGACAAATTAAGCCAGAGCGTGGGTGAGGCCCTAGAACAATGCCAAAATGATCGCACATTCTTGTCGCCTTGTTTATTTCCACCCCGATCCATAAATGTGATGAGTAAATGTGCGAAGTGAATGACACATTGTTTTGATCACTGACCTATTTTAGCGAAAGTAATACCAGCAGTAACACCATGATGTGAATAACTGATGAATCACACACATCAATGTGTGGAGGCACTACTAACCTACAGCATGTTTAACCACCGCCGCCCCTCACTATGAGACCAAATCTCACTTAAATTGTTACAGCTACTATTGGACTTTAATGTCTTTACATACCATCCATCAAATGTTGGGGGATGGCTTTGTTTCTTTTAAAAATTGAGTAATGTTTGATTTTAATTATTATTTAAGTAAGATAAAAATACTTGTAGAAGTTTTCTGGCATATAAAAGTTGTTCAGATATGTTCTTTGGTGTGGAGAATAGGGTTTGCCTAAATAATGAATGCTATATAGAGCTATTGACCTGTTGTCAAAAGTATTGAAAATCATTTGGGCCCAACGTTTTTTAAACATCTGAATGGTTTGAGAAGGCCTAAATCATCAAGTTATACGCTCCTGGGAACAAGTGTTTGGTGGACCCCTAACAGTATTTTTTCTTATATCACAGCAGGTTACAAGAGCACCACAACTGCAGCAAGATATCATAATGGCACATTTAGTCAGTCAGTCTTTCTGTGAGTCTTTCATTCAAGGAAGAATCTAAATGGTTCTGAACAAGCCTCTTTAATAAAATGACAGGCTAATGTAACATTAAATTATTGTTCATCTATTTAAAACAATGTTTAAACTGTGTTAAACTACACTAGCTAATAAATACAGAAATTAAAATCATTCTAAACAGCTTAAAAGAAGTCTGTTAAGGCATTATTAATGCAGTTATTAGTCCAGAAAGGACTGTGTTGTCCTGCCCTGGTTGCATAAAGACAATAGCAAGTTACTAGACAATACATTTTCCAAATGCACCATGTCCTGCTCCTGCAATGTTATGATGTTATAGCCTATTGCTTACAGCAGCACAGTCATTATCCTATGTATTCCACTACTCTATAGTCATATAAAACAAAACAATAGCAAGATTATGTGCAAACCCATTTCCAAAACAGTTAGGACAGTAGGGAAAATGTACAGTCCCATTTTCAAAAAGTTGGGACGCTGTGCAAAAGGTAAATAAAAACAAAATGCAATGATGTGTAAATCATTTAAACCCTATATTTAATTGAAAATAGTACAAAGACAACATATCAAATGTTGAAACTGAGAAAATTTGTTTTTTTTGAAAAAATATATGCCCATTTAGAATTTGTTGTCAAGAACCCGTTCCAAAAAAGTTGGGACAGGAGCAACAAAAAGCTGGTAAAGTTGTGTAATGCGTAATTGTGTAAAAGAAAAAACACCTGGTGGTTGATTGGCAACAGGTCAGTAACATGTCTGGGTATAAAAAAAGCATCCCAGAGAGGCTGAGCCTTTCAGCAGTAAAGATGGGGAGGGGTTCACCACTCTGTGAAAGACTGCATGATCAAACAGTGCAACAATTCAAGAAATTGTAAAACAAAAAATGTAAAACAGCAAAGAACTTTTTCTTTTCATCATCTGCAGTACATAATAACAATAAAAGGATTCAGAGAACCTGGAGAAATCTCTGTATGCAAGGGACAAGGCCAAAAACTAGAATTTGCTGGCCATGATCTTTGGGCTCTCAGGTGGCACCGCATTAAAAACAGACATGATTCACTGCATGGGCTCAGAAAACCTAATGAAAACTATGACAAAGGAGATCCAGAAATGTTGAGAAGCTGAAAGCCTATATCGAACAAGAATGGGCAAGCATTTCACTTTCAAAACTACAGCAGTTGGTCTTCTTTAGTTCCAAAACGCTTACAGAGTGTTGTTAAAAGAACAGCTGATGAAACACAGTGGTAAACATGCCCCTGTCCCAACTATTTTGGAACGTGTTGTCAGCATCAAATTCAAAATGGGCGTATATTTTTCAAAAAACAATAGAATTTCTCAGTTTCAACATTTGATATGCTGTCTTACACACCTAAATTTGGTGCCTGCAACATGTTCCAAAAAAGTTAGGACAGGGGAATGTTTACCACTGTGTTACATCACCTTTCCTTTTAACAGTGTTCAGTGATCTTTTGGGAACTGATGAAAGCAATTGTTGTTGTGAAAGTGGAATTTTTTCCCATTCTTGCTTGATATAACACTTTTGCTGCTCAACAGTCCGGGGTCTCCTTTGTCATATATAGCGCTTCATAAAGTGCCACACATTTTCAATGGGAGACAGGTCTGGACGGCAGGCTAGCTGTTGTAATACATGCAGAATGCGGCTGGGCATTGTCTTGCTGGAACAAGCAAGGTCGCCCCTGAAAAAGATGTTGTCTACATATGGCAGCATATGTTGATCCAAAATGTATATGTACCCCTCAGCATTAATGGTGCAAGTTACTCATTCCTGTGGTGCTAATACACCCCTATACCATGACAGATGCTGGTTTTTGAACTTTGCCTTGGTTACAATCGGGATGTTCTTTTTCCTCTTAAGCCTGGAGAACACAACGTCCATTATTTCCAAGAACAATTTAATAAGTGGACTTGTCAGACCACAGCATGTGTTTCCACTTTGCATCAGTCCATCTCAGATGAACTCTAGCTAAGAGGAGTCAGCAGCATTTCTGGATGCTGTTTAAATGTGGCTTTGCATAGTAGTGTCTTGCATTAATAGATGTAGCGACAAACTGATCACTGACTAGGGTTAAATATCTTTTTGGGCTGTTTTTAGTTAAATACCTATAAAAACACTGCTTTTTATCTACTGTCTCTTTTTTGCAGCACCTATAAAGCCTGTAAAGCATGTGTCTGCTCGTGACGAGCACATTTGTGTGATGCCATAGAACAGTGTTTCCCAACCCTGGTCCTGGAGGCACATTGCATGGCTAATTTTAGTGCTTTCCCTGCTCCCAACACACCTGATCCAACTAATCAGCTCATTAACAAGCCCTTACTGTGTCGAAATGGGTGTATTAAAGGAGGGAAAGCACTAAATTGTGCAGGACAGTGCACCTCCAGGACCAGGGTTAGGAACACTGCCACAGAAGAACCAATTTTTGGTCCCTGTAAGTGTTTCAATGGATGCCCCTTTAGAGAACTAGTATTGTAAATGAGGTGCGTATGTGTAACAGACCTTTTTAAAGCTTAAAGAAGCTCTACATAATGCAAAAGGAAGGAAGCACCATTGAAGTGGCAAAGAACCTGTGTTACCTTTATAAATCTGTATTTCAAATGTTTCTACAGTGAAGCCTTTGTGGCATTTTTAAGAATGGACGTCCAGTTTCTGAACATCTGAAGCTTCAAATTCAAAATACATTCACAGGACTGCTGGCTTACAGCTAAAAAAACTGAAGGCTTGAAGTTATGGTGGATAGTGGGTTGCTAAGCATTGATTGAAGAGAAAAATGATCTGGACATTGAGGAATGATGTAGAGAATCTCAGGATTTTGATTGAGAGTTCATGTTCTTTGCTGAACAGGAAACTGTTTCGATTTTGCCATAATTGTTCACAGGGGCCCCCTGGTGGCTTGTGCCCATAAAACCCATGGGATGATCTGGGTCTGGGTTCAAGTGATGAGTGCTGACAAGGGGATAAAATGTGTTATGTATGGCATTATTCCCAAGAAACTACCACAGATCTTAGTTTCACACGTCATAGTTCTCCTCCAAATAACCCTGACTTTCAGACTTGCGTATGTTCAATAATTGTAAACTTACAAATAAGATGTACTCATTTGCATGAAGAGCTTGGAGTCACCAAACTTTTGACTGGTAGTGTACCTATTCACTGAACTTGCCATGCTGGAAAAAGCTTTCCCATATCAGTGCTTTACATCGGAAGGCAGGATCCAGTAATGTGCATGCAATTAGCGGTCAAGGTGTCTGTTTCTTGTTTACTGGCAAGCAGAGAAAGGCCGGTGAAGTAAATTTGCCCAAGGGCAGCCCATAGGCTGTGTCCACACTGCTGAAGTCGACTGAGCTCCTGCGTGACCACCCTCGGCTCAGCAAGGGTAATGAAATGCAGCACTAGGGCTTTTTGATTGGTCAGGAAGGGCAGCGTTTATGTAACCAGACTGCATCCCCTCAACCACCTGAATGCCATTGACAGTAGTCTACTGGGCAGAGTTCTGACAGAGCAAACTTCCTTTATCTAGGAGAGCTGAGGATGCCAAGAGGGGTGAGATGACTGTGAACAAGAGCGAGAGAGAAGTAGAGTGGACAAGTCAGATGGAATGAAGAGCACACAAGAAAGCGAGAGGCACTGGAAAAGCAGTAAGAAAAGGGATAAAGAGCTGGGAGAGGACACCCATGAATTCACTGCACAGCCTTCTAAATCCTTAGAAGTATGCAAGTTATACAAAAAAATTCTTTTTGATAGTAAGACCAGTGTTGAATAAGATGCCTGAAGTGCAGGAAGTAGGTGAACTGTGAGTTACCAAACCTTCATAGGACAGAAAGGAGGCAAGGACGAGCGGGGAGGCAGCTTTCGCTGCTGCGAAAACAGATAGGGCCAGAGGATAAAAGCAGGATACAGAAGAGGTTTTAGAAAAGAGTGGTAAAGAGAAGGGAAAGGGGGGACATGAGTCACATCCCCTAGCCACATCTGTTTGAGGCCAATTGCAGATAGCCCAGATAGAATCAGCAGGCCACGATTCATCCTCAGTGTCAGTATTTTCTGTACGGATTTTATATTTTATCGGGGACGGGGGGATGTAGCCCTTCGCACTCTTACAGCACGCACGGCCTCTTGGTATGGATGACCTGATTTCCAACATAAAAGCCTTTTTCTTA